CTCTCTCTCTCTCTCTCTCTCTCTCTCTCTTTCTCTCTGTTTCTTTCTTTTCCCACATGTCTGTCTGACCTATTTCTTTTTAACCTTCTAGTGTGCACACCTGGTTACTTCATTAGGACCTTGGTGTAAATTGAGGAAGATTGAAGACGGGTCGAACTTGATTGCGAACGGAAAATAGATTCCGTTCTTTGTATATATCCATCCGAACTTCGGAAAAGGTATATATTATGTGAGTGTGTCTGTGTATTAGAGAAAAAGAAAAAAAAAGGGGGGGGGGGTAAAATTATGATATCCTTAGCCTTAGATGGCATATAAGACAGATGGTAGCATCTAGTCAAGATCTAATATTGGTGACGTCAAATCTTCGGAGAGACATTATTACTATGAAATACGTTTTGCTGTGAATATACAACAACATACTGCAACAACCTTCAGACAAAAATGAGAAAATGACAGTTTCCCACTCACACAAAAAATTACATTAAAATAAGATAAAAAAGAAGATAACATAAAATTAATTTAATTTAATTTAATTCAATTTAAATAACGAGGGGCTCCCTCAGCCAAACCATTACTTGCAAATAATTAATTCCTTAATCGCCGTTAATCTGATAAACTCACCTGCAAACCTGGCCAAATCTTCCTCCCCGTACGACTGCCGGTTGACAGTTGGCGCGCCATGTCGCGTCCGGTGCCTGGTGTAAAGGAGAAAGCGCGGGGAATCACCCGACCCCTCCCGCCTCACACGACGAGAGATGTTCGCCAGCAGCTGCTCAAACGCTTCGTCCACTGAAACGGACATAGACTCATTGATGTTTTGGGGACGAAACTATTAATACATGTAGGCTATTTGGGGGGGGGGGGGTCGCTTATCAATGACAAGTTGTTATTCTGGACAAACAGACTTTGTGTTCATCAAGAGAGCTAATCTATGCCATTAAAGTGGGAATTTTTAAAAAAAATCAAACCAATCGATCAATCAATGTATCAACTATCGAACGATCAATCGATTGATCGAAAAATCAATCAATCGACCAGTCAATTTGTCTGTTATCACGGACATGCTCTAACAATCTATCGCTTAAAACTAAAAGACAAATAAGATTAATCCACTGCAATGTAGCTACAATGACAGAAGAAGAGATACTGCACGAAAACAGTCACATCATTTCATCAGAACAAAACAAGGACACTAGAAACTCATTTCAAGAATTTAAAAAGTTACATTTACTCTTTACTTATTTTGATTCTCATTGTATTTTATTCTGTATTCTGGAGTTTATTAACATGTTCAGTAGACTCATAAATACCACGGAGCATGCTTTAATTAACTGTACATCGTAAGGAGTAAGCCATCACACTTCCTCACAACAACAAACCACTTAAATCAGCAAACAATGAAGTCACACATTGGAACACACACACACACACACACACACACACACACACACACACACACA